TTTCGTTAGCACTTGATGAAAGTACAGATATCGTTGACTCTGCATAGTTAATTGTATTTATTCGAGGAATTAATGATAAGTTTGAAATAACTTATTATTTTTGTCTGGCCCGCGAACTCTTTTTAATTTATGAATGTGGCCCGGGAGTCTAAAAAGGTTGCCGACCACTGTTGTAGAGTAAACAATATTTTATACAAAAATATAAAGTAAACATATTATTTATATAGGTACCTATATTATCATACAATTAAAAATGATATGTGTTAATCACAGATATAAAGTAGTATTTTATATCTGTGGTGTTAATAAACTTTTGGCCTTCTAAGAGCATTTGATTTTTTTTGTGGCCCTTGAATAAAAAAGTTTGGAGACCAATAAATATACCAATAAATTATATATTAATTAATAATTGGTGAAACATTGTATTCGAGAAAATAAAAAAAATGTGATTTTAATTAGTTTTGTAATGTACCCACCTATATGTAAAAAATAAATTAATATAATAATAACTGTTGAATTTTTAGGGACGCATTCGTGTACGTATTACACTATATTTATATATATATACGAATATATCATTATATTATTCATAAGCACACGGGAGGATATGCAGACATGCAGTTGACCATTCGTGAACTTTTATGTGTACATGGTTATTGGTTACACGTCCCTACTTCCTATGATATAGATATTAGGTGAGCAATAGAAGTTGAGTAGGTATTTTACACTAAGTTAATAGTTACCCTTAACTTATAAAGTTGGATTTGAAAAAAAATGACCAGTTATAAATTAAAATTGTATTTTATGACTATTATCAGTTAAAACATATATTTCTATAAATTAAACCAAAACATATGTATTTTTCAAGTAAACAATTTTCATATTCACCTATTAATTACAATTATTCTACGACCGGGGACTGAAAAAACAATTTATAAAATATGCGTCTACAATAACTCATTTTTCGTGACATTAAATATTTATCTTAATTCTTAAAAGTAAATTTAAGCCCCAAAAGAATATGAAAACAAATTTACTTTCAACATCGATTCTTTCGGCGGAATCCGTGACGTGTGTTCACTGCGAGGCTGACGAGGAAAATCTCCATAATATACAGAACTTAAAATATTGTGATTTATGAAAAATAAAATTATACGTAACGCAGTAAGTTTTTTGCTCATATCTGCTTTGCTTATTGAAATTTAGGAATTTTTAATGACGACTAAGTCCTCTGAAATGAGTTTGAGATTTGCCATGGAATATAAATGATAGATATTATACTAGGCGTACGTCAATATGATGAATCCACGGATATCATATAGGTAACGCAACTTTTTATGTCAAAGAGTTCCGTATTAAGGAACAATATTTGTTCGTTGAAATTTTATATGGCAAAAATCAAAATAGTTTATAATTTTGAATTTCAATTATAATAACATTAAATATGACATAAATATTATTTTAATTATTATTTTCGTTTCTTAATTTAATTATTTATTAATATGGTGAATATATTATATCAGAAGTACAAACATATTTTTATAAAAGCATAATATTGTATTTTAAAAATCATTAAATGAAAATGTGATTCCTGGATTTTAGAGTTAACATAAAGATGTACAGTGCCTAAGTACATTACATTTACAGTACCTACCTACCATAATACCAACTAGATTTGTAAAATGCCAAGGCTAACATTTCCTACGAATACTGCTGATCACGAAATTATTAATTATTATTTAATATTATGTTAATTTAATTGTGTCGGGTACCTATAATTTATATTTTAGATTCTGAGCGGAGCGATGAATATTTTAATTTTACTATGATGTGTATTTAATTTTTAATTTTTTTGTTGTTATTTCTATTTTGTGTTTGATGCGTACACGATAAGTAGGTAGTCAAAATAAACCTTCGTGTTCCATGCATAATATATTATAGGTAATCTGTATGTTGAGGCCGAAGAGCGGTTCAGGCTGCATGGTAGAAAACATCCTCTCAATCAAGGAAGATGAGGAACGAGTGCGACAGGCTGCGAACCGGCGGAATTTACAATAATTAAGAACCGTCTGTACTGTTTGTAACATAACTAATTTTTGCTTGAAATAACAGCGGGCGGGGGACTGTCCCGCCGCTGTTAATTGTCGTGTTTTTGTTTTGACAATAAACGATGGGGGCTGGAGGAGAAGTACTGGCACCATAGTTCCTCCTCCAGTCCTCGATACCACAATAAAAAAAAAAAAAAAAAAGGTAATCTGTATGTAATCAATGATCATAGTTTTATTTTTAAGTTTCTTTGTATTTAGTAAATAATAATATAGGAAATTGTATTTTCGAACATTAATTTTTTGTTTGTATCAAATACTTTCACCATAATGGGGAACTAAAATTGTCATTTATCGTTAAAACAACAAATTTTGTGAAAAATTCAATTTTGGTAGGTAAGTGTTTTGTGTAGGCATAATAAATGTATTACATTAAAATTTAAAAAATTCAAAGAATAATTACATTTATTGGATCATAAATTAGAATATAGGTACTACAGTTTCCAGCTTCTACTACAACATTACGTTATATTATGTTTTTAATTATTAAAATGCCTAAAAATAAAACGTAAATAACAAAATAATATGAAAACAAACTTACGCTGAAACATCGACTCTTCCGGTGAAACCTAGCTAGAGTGCATCATCAACAATGCAAACGTCGAGTACTTGACGCCACCGAAGAAAGAGCTATCTTCATCTCGTTCCGAACTGTAACTTGAAATTATCGAAATATTTTATGAAAATTACCGGAACATAACGAAATGTGCGAATTCGTGTTAAAACTTACATAATAATATATTTATATATACGGCTCAACGAACTATCTAATCATATTGATGGCTTATTATTTTTTTTTTTCACTAAAATTATTAGAATTGTTAATCGTCGCAGACGAATGTCGACAATTGGCGATTGCCATAGATGATATAATATATATTTTTTAATATGATAAATCCATAGAACTTCTACACTCAGCACATAAACGGTCTATTGATAAATCGTGTGTTCTTTTACAGAAATGATTGTGGTCTGCAATGTATTCTTGTTTTCTATTTCAGTTATTTACCGCATACTAAATTTAACCAAACAAATTAGTCCGAAAATTTATAGACATCACAAATATATAATATAAATTATAATTTACAGTAGCTTATATCTGTGATAGACATTCTAATATCTAATGCATTCTCCCGCCGGAGGCCATACTCCATTGACCCAGTTCAGGGGAAGTTAAATTTTTACCTACAAATGTATAAAAAAAAAAGTGGTTGGGGCAAGAAACTTTATGATTTTTAAACTGATAAATAATTTACAAAATAATTTTCTCATGACTATAAATAACGCAAAAAGAGTCAAAATAGTTTGAAAATTTTACCATGTATGGAAAATTCAAGTATAAATATTTTTTACTTTTTTTGTTACAAGTGGAAAAATGTATGTAAGTTCACAACAAACATAAGTTGTTTAACTTACCCTACCAATAATATCACTATATAAAATAATTAAAAGTGATTTGCAACCAGTTATAAGATTTATGATGAAAAAATTAATTCACGGAAATCATTAGTTGTTATCGCATAACCTTACGAAGTTCACAATTTTCAGTGTTGTACGCACCCGTACAACGCTTAAAGCAGTGGCGTATCTAGGAATTTTTTTTTTTTTTTTGGGGGGGGGGGGCTGATCAGTTACAAAAAAAAAAATAACTGCAAAATAAGTGATTAAAAAAACTATATTTAAAATTTTAAAACAATACATTATTATTTTAATCATATTGTTAATTTTAGTCGTCTAGCTTTTCCACTGTTCGAAAATTTATTTAGTACCATATCATCAGTAATATCTACATCTCTATGAATTGATAACAGAGCTAGTCCTACAAGCCGTGATTCAGATGTTGTGTTTCGAAGATAATTTTTTAATCTCCTTAATGTTGAAAAACTTCTCTCTGCAGTTGCTGTTGAAACAGGAAGTATTGATAGTATCTTAAGAAGCTTATACACAGGGGCGTACTCAGGAATTTTCAATGGGGGGTTGAACATTTTGTTTTTTATCACGGGGACTTTGTCACCTCCTTTTTAAAAATATTAAATATAAACATGGTAATGTACGACTCTACAGAAAATAAATTTCAAAAATGAAAAATGTTTATTTAAAGAACAAAATTCCGATTCCGATTGATTAACGCGTGTTCATGTTTTCTTTTAAGATTATTGTAGGGTTCAATGTACTTAGAACTTCCAGGCACACTAGTAAAAAATGTTGTTATTTTATTTTTATTTTTATTTTTTGACTTTAAGCGTTTATGGAAAAAGAATAAATACTTAAATTTTAATACTATCATTTATATTTTTCAAAAGTATATAAAATTACTATACATTTTAATAATTTATCTGTGTGAAATAGTACATTATGTAATTTTAGTATATACCTAATTTAGAAAAAACAATTAATAATTTTGATTAAGGGGGCCTTGACAGTTTTACATTAAATTTAGGGAGCCTCATGACAAAAAAAATTGAGAATAACTGTACTATATTATAGTGTAAAATATCTAAATATAATAAATATAACTAGCTGTCCCGGTAAAAAATAATGATTTTAATATTGCATTTCAATTTGAAAACTACATATACATTTTTCACTGTTTATTTTTCTAAAATAATTTATAATTATTGAAGAAATATGTAAACAAATTTTTTGACAAAGGTTGGTTGCTCAATACACAGTCAAATATTAACCAAATATATCATAACGCATTATGTAAAAATAAGAATGATATTCACTTACAAATTAGTACGACAAACAAACAAATGAAATTAATTGCGATGCATGGGCTACCCTGTCGTCAACGGCCTGGTCGCCTTCCTCCTGGCTGCGCACCCTCCTGTGCCTGGTCTGTGAGCTGTCTTCGGAAGTCCAAACATCTGTCCTCCGATTCCGGGCACTCCTTCATCGCATAGTTTTCCTCCGCTTGGCGGCTGCCTTCGCCTCTCTAACTTCTGTGCTGTCCCAATGGGCTGGGGTCAACTCCATGTCCGTGGACGCATCGTTGGTGCTGGACGAGGTAGCGGAGTCTGTTGTTTGGGTCGCGGCATCCATTGGATCGAAGATCTTCCCGGCGGCCCTGGAGAATCCCTTCAGCTTGCCTTTCTTGTTCAGGAGCATCACTAGAGGGTCTCTGGCCTTGACCGTGCAGTCCCGAAACTCTTTGACGAGTTCGACGGCGAACTTGCTTGTGTTAACGCCGATCGCTTTATCCAGGTAGCAGGATGCTGTAGCAAATGCGTCGTTCAGGTGAATAATGCTGTCCTTGAGAATGGTCTGGATTTCTGCGGCGTATTTTTTCAACGTAGAACGAGCAGCTTCATCCTTCGTCTTCTGCTTTTTTGAGGCGGGTTGCGATCCTGCGGTTGCTGCGGCGGAGGCCCCGACCGCAGATGTCCCGGGGGCGCGACTGATCTGGGCGAGGTATTGCGCGGTCGTATCCATCTTGACGTCGGAAGGGGGGGCTGTTCATCGTGTGCCCGGGGCCTGGCCCCGGGACTGGGATGAAGCGCTGTCCCTATCCGCACTGTCTCTGTCGGAGCGCAATAACAGGCGCAGTCCCTATCTGACCGCACTGTCCCTATCGGAGTGGCGGTGTGGAGTTCACTGTCCCTATCGGGAGAGCTCACTGTCCCTATCGGTGGGCCCGAACTCCTCCCCCGGGGGGGATAGGGGGTCCTGGTTTGCTGGGTCTTGTCGGAGTCTCCGAAAGCTGCTAAGATATTGTCGAGGGGGCAAAATGTTCGTCCCGAAGCTCTAGGAGCGACCCTGACGGAGATACGGGCGAAAAACCGTGGGGAGCGTAGATGGGGTCCTCTGGCTGGCCGCGCTGGCCCGGTGGAGGGCCGCACTTACCACCTTGGGAGTGGTGCGCGCCGGCAGAGTCCTCTAGGTGACTTTGACTGTGGGTGGCAGGCGCTGGTGACGCTGGTGTGTAGCGGATCGACCGGACTGGGACGGCTCGGGAGCGAACTCAACGGGACACGTCCTTCCAAGTCTGTACAAAAATTTCAACTTGACTCAAATTCCTAAAAAAAAAATTAAAGGGGAGTGTTGGCGCCCGCAGGCAAATGCATTTTATAAAAAACAAAAAAAAATTAGTAAAAATTATATAGTAGGAACCACGAATTAAGATTATCTTAATTCGTGGTAGGAACACACAGGGCCCTTTAGAGTTTAGACGAACGCTTTTTTTGGCGCGATTGGAATGTGGCATTCCAAGAGATCGTGAGTATTCTGTGCAGTTTATCCTTGTATCTTGGAGTGTTGTTTCATTTACACGTACATGGTTTCTCCACACGCCAAGCATGCAAGATAATTAACTATCGATATGAAGCAGTTATCGATATAAATTAATAATCGATATATGTAAATCATCGATACCGATTGTCCAGATATCACACTATCACTCATTTGTTATCAGACTTTTGGTTTCAAACTGACGAGTGCCGACTGTTCAAATAACGAACTTTATTATTAAGTACTAAAATTGTATTCTAAAACGACTACCTAACAACTAATAAGTAATACTTGTTAATTATAAACTCGTGTCTAATTAAAATGAGTGATACCAGGTATTGGTCGAAGGAATTTACACTACAATTTATAGAGCTGTATAAACAGTATCCTTGTCTTTGGAAAATAAAAAGTAAGGACTACATAAACAAAAACTTGAAAAGAGAAGCTTATGATGAACTTACCAAATTTTGAAAAACAACAATCCCTCAAACTTACTTCAGTTGAATGGTTAAATCAAGCTTTAGACGCTTTTCAGACTTGTATAATATAGGTACTAGGTCCTCCTTTTTGTGCGATCAAAAATTAACATTTATACTATTATTGAAAAAATACAATTAAGCTAAGCACCACTACATAAATGAAACAAATAATTTAAAATAATTATATTTATTATTTTTGTGATAACAAACCCAATCCTATGATAATTCACTGCAAAAGTGTCGATATTTTCAACACGCCACACGCCACTATGCGTGCGTGAAAGACACAGTTTTAGCCTTTACACAGCCACGCTTTCCTACATTCCCAGACAACCAGGTAAAGATCGAGCGCCTGGAGTGTTCGTTTATTTGCTACCACACTCTTCGCGCGCTACGTGCCTATCCGCCGCGACTGACTGCATGCTTGGCGCGTAGTATTGGCGCGCCAAAAAAAGCGTTCGTCTAAAGGGTCTAGAGGACGCCACACCCGCATGTGTTGTCTCCGTCTTACAAATGTACAACATAGCAAAAATTCTTTTGCGAGGGACAACTTTTCTAGCACCATATATGTTGTAGAACTACCAAATTTTCACAGCACTTAAAGAAGAACTTTATCTGTGTAACAGCGTGCTCTTTTTTTCAATAACATATATACAATACATGTTATTTGCTTCTAAACATTTGGTTCTTTAATTTGCTTATAAAAAATGATTGGATGGTGCTATTGAAAAAAAGAGCACGCTGTTGCACAGATAAAGTTCTTATTTAAGTGCTGTGAAAATTTGGTAGCTCTACAACAAATATGGTGCGAGAAAAGTTGTCCCTCGCAAAAGAGTTTTTGCTATGTTGTAGTGGTTGTACATTTGTAAGACGGAGACAACACATGCGGGTGTGGCGTCCTCTTAAAGAGTTCAATCTTAAATGTCCAGAATCTTAAACAGAAAAAAACAATGGTCAATGATTAGCTTATTAAAGAATGATAATACAGATTGCACCTGCAGGTAATCAATAAACAAGTCTGTGCAAAAAATTCAACAAGAGTCAAATTCCTAAAAAAAAAAATAGAAGTGGAGTGTTGGCGCCCGCAGGCGAATGCATTTTAGGAAACAACAAAAAAAAAATAAAAAAAATATACAATGGTAAGACGTCATATTAAAGAGTTCAAACACAATCTCTAGATACTTGAACGTAAAAAACACTTCACAATGATTACCTAGCTCGTTTTAGAATGTCAATACAGAGGGCAAATGCAGGTTATCAATATTCAAGTCTATAGAAGGAATGTAACTAGAGTTAAATTCCTAAAAAAAAATTGAAGGGGAGGGTTGACGCCCGCAGTCAAATGCATTTTAGAAAAATAAAAAGGTGGATTAATATAACCAATTTATACAAAATCCTATCCTAACATCATAACCGTACTAAAATCAGACGAATAAAAAAAAAAACAAATTAACCTATATTCTTCCCAGAGGTCTAATATACCCGAAAACATCAATTTATATATCTAACTATATAAATACACAGACTATAACTATACAGACTAAACTCTGAAACTACTTATCAGATATTATTGTATAAATTATATATATGTATAAAAAATAATAATACAAATCAACAATCATGACCGATTAACCGATAGCAACCAATATAATATAATACTGCACAGGTAGATTTTCCTAAAACGTTCATTCATATAAATTATAAACCTTCTCCATGAAATACTCTTTCGGAACGGACAACCAGCTCTTACGCGGAGCTCGCACACGTAGCAGTTAGAATCGGTGTTGGTGTCACAACAGACCATTACAGACCATTTCAGAGCATTTCATATACATAATTAAATAAAGAATATTATTTTGAGCCAAAGTAATTTAAACTCGTTTTATTTTATTTGTGCGGAATCGCCAAGTGCGCGTCCATAACACCAGCATGAATAAAATAATGTTAATACAATAAATATTTTTTCAAAGATGTTGGTTTGTATACGTATTAAATATTTTCGAGTAAGTGGTGAAACCGATTTTGAGCCTGTAATCACCCAGTAATTTTAAAATATGGTAAATATTTTGGGTTAGCCGTGAGTTTGTGGATAAAAATTGTGAAATCTCCCTATAAAATGTAATACGGTAAATATTTTTGTGTGAGCGGCAAATAGGTGGACGATGAGTGGGTAATCTCCCCGTGATGTGCAATATGGTAAAATCAGTGTCCTCTAATAGGCAGACATTCCCACTTGAACATAGTGTAATTAACGCTGAAAAAAACGTCTGTGGAAATAAACTGTATACTACTAATAGTAGGTACCTACTTTACAAATAGAACTAATAAGTAATTTTTTAGTATAGCACTATAGCCTTCACCCATGTTCCGTAATTTTTATTACGTACCTTTTTTACATTTTCGATAAGTTGTAGGTCTATCCTTCTTGTGATTCAGATGTGGTACGATCGTATATGCTTCATTCTTAAAGGTAGAACCTATGTACTGTACCTATAGTACGAGTAGTACCTACCACCTACTGACTACTCAGTAGTTCTCACTACTCTTAGTTCTTACATCATATACATATGGTATCAGTGGCGTATACATGCATAACATGTATACATGCGGTGTGATGAAAAATGCGTTTATGAAAAATTATTTTAGGTGCGATAGGTACTCATAATATTATTAAAAATACGTACATTCGCAACCTCACTAGTACACTTTTCCCAATGCAGCATTTGTTATAAATGACTTGCAAATGAACAACTTAGCAAATTTGCTTTTGACTATATCAATTTCATGTTTAAAGCATTATAGTGCACAAATATTGCACAAAGGACCTGTGCGCCCCATGTTTAAAATGTGCAGCCCCAAAAAATAAAAGCTTTTTTCTATTATATTTTGTTCATTTTGAATTAAAAATTATCAATAAATACAAAAATGTTGTACTATATATCTATAGGTACTGAAAATGTAACATAATTTATTGGTATACTTCGCTATAATTAAGTTCCCAGCTATAACATAATATAACGAAAATATCTTTAGCTCATTTAATGTTGTATAGAATAGGTCACAGATACGTATAATATGTAATAATATTATATTACAAAATCACGAAATACAGCTTTTAAAAAAGAGTAACGGTATTTTTCATTATCAAGTAAACAGTTAAACTGCGTTGTTTAACAATTTTTTACAATTTTATTATATGTATATATATAATATATCCATTTTAAGGGGGTATGAGTAGGCCATAAATATTAAATCAATACTGTTTTTTGGGATATTATACAAAACTTACTTAAAAGTAGTAGCTCCTCCAATATGGGTTGTATCGTCTTGAAATCTTCGAGGTTCAATGCAGTGACACCTATAGATCAAATTGCTGTTCTCAAAAAAGCCGCGTCTCGTATTTAAGTTTGTGAAATTGGCAAAACAAAATTTTGCTTGCTTTCATAAATTAGTTATCATGGTTAATACTTTTATAAAATTATACTTAATAAAGATAAGATATGTTATCCTAGTGTGCAACTTTATGAAGATTCTTGAACTCTTTATTGATTTATGGGCTTTATTTCCAAAATATTTATTCTCAAATGCTTAAAATGGACATATGAAACTACACTTTTCAACGATGGAGCCCATGCTTAAATGAGATGGATTAGGCTAGATAGATAGGATATTTTTGTTAGAACAGCGTTTTACAGAAAATTAAAAATTAATTTAGTTCATCTACAA